CTTTTAGTATGGTTTCCACGCAATCCTTTATAAATGAGACCCCAGGCCTGTAGATGAGTGTAAACTGCAGAGTCCTGACCCGACGAAGTAGCTCGTCTGTGCTGGCTCATTCTTTTGAACAGTGGCTGTTTTGTGTATGACTGATCACAGTCTGGCTCCTGGGTTTGTAGGGACACTGTCTGCTCTGTGGTACAGAGTCCTGATCACTCCTAACTTGTGTTCCAGTGGGTGATGGGAGTCAAAATGCAAATACTGGTCTGTATGGGTGGGTTTGTGATACACGTCAGTTTCCAACCGTCCTCCATTCTAACCTGAGACATCACAGTCCAGGAACGCCAACCTGCCATCTTTTACATGCTGTTGAAGAGGCAAGATGGTGCCTGTAGAGCCCCCCCCCCCACACACACACACACACACACACACACACTTTGTCGGTCTGTGTTTAATGACGGATGAAATAAAGGATGTGGATTTGCTTTATTTGCTGAGAGCAAGACAATATCACGCTCATTAGATAATTAATTCATAATTAATTCACCAGATAATTCAGAGACGTTCTGAGTTTGGTGAGTTTCATCACCAAGGAGCTGTGAGCTGATGAGGCTCGCTTTCAGAACTAGTTTTGTCTTTAGTCTAGTTTGATGAACCGCTGACCCACATCAGTGCCGATATCTCCTGCTGGTACACCGACTGCAGGCACTCGATTTCTGCTAAAAAGCTCCTGTCCATCTGAAAATCTGTCATTGCGACACACAGTGGAGTCTCACGTCCATCATAGACTTTGCACCTGACGCTCCTGATGCTGAAATTGCGTTTGGTGTGAACGCAGCATAACAATAGACTGTAGAGAATAATCTGATGTTCCTTCACATTATTTTGAGTCACTATCAGAGAGATGAAGGAGAATCAGAGTTAAAAATAATATTGTTTCAATAAATAAAGACCAGAGAGTTGTCTTTTCTTAAAAGTTCCCCTTTGATGTCACTTCCTGTTTCACTTTGACTGAGTCAAGTTTAAAAGAAAATATCCGTTTTGTGACAAAATGGTTAAAATCATGTGTATTAAGCCAAGTTTCTTAACCATAAAGATGTTTTCTTTGACTTTTTGTAACTGAAGGATATACAGGTCACAGGCACTTTAAGCTTAATGCTTTTATTTGGTAACTTCTTTGTGAGCAGGAATATGATAATGGAACTCCTTCATATTGACTAAAATGTGACGTTTAAATAAAATATTTGATAACAAGCTTTAAGCAAAAGTATGTTGCATTTCATGCACACTTGTTTTCTTGTGGGAAAAAACATTTTCTAGTAAAAATCTTTTGATTGACATAAATAATTTCTGTGTTACGTTGATTAAAGATTACTTCTTACGTGGAAGTCTGAGGGACTCGGTCAGCAGCTGACCCAACTTGGCCGTGTCACATTTAGTCAGAACAAAGACCCCGTGGCTCTTCTTCAGGCCGTTTGTGCGATCCAGCACCATCATGCCACGAGCCATGGAGCCCTGCAGCTCCACGCGGACCGGACACTCGATGCTCTCCAGCACCACGCTGCCATCGAYGCAGGCCGCCATCGCATAGGCATCGTAAGAGACGAAGCCCGGCCCAAAGTAGACGTCTCGTTTATTCTTCATGGCCTCCTTGGAGTAGGCCCGGCACTTGGACGTTATCTTCTTCATGAAGCGAGCCGCCGGAGCATCCTGACCAATCAGCTGGTCAAAGAACTCCTGCACAAATGGAATCAGAGGAACTGTATGTAGAAGAAGGCATCGCTCAGGACCATGTAGTGTCCTTCAGCTTACCCACGACAGAGCGTTTCTGCACGAGTACTCCCACGATGCAATGTATGTAGGGCAGAGGAATTCTTCCAGAACAATGTAGGCCGACTCTGGGTCCATGGCAAAGTTAAACTCAGCACAAAGAGTCACGTTTCCTATTCCTGCAATGAGGAAAAAAAACTGTTACAGCGTCTTCACAAACTGCAGAGTAATTTAATAGGTTTTATGTGTTTGGACCAAAACAAAGTAGTGTTTAATAGTGACGCTCCAAYACAATGAATGAAYGATACTTTATTGATCCCATGAAGGGAAATTACAGTTTGGAACAACCTATTTGATAACCAAAACACAACAAGGAGAACAGATGCCCCAGGGCTACCCTTAATGTTGCTTTTCCAAAAATACATTCATATTTATTACAAACATTTGATGTCACAGGCACTTAAACAAAAGCTGTCGCACATTTTGTTTATATGTGCGTCACTTATTCACTAGGTGACATATTGACAATAAATGAACTCAAATACAGCTGTGGAACGTCAATGACAAGTCTTAAAAGAGCAACATGTTTGGAATGTTCATGGGTTCACTGGGTTATTTTAGTGCTTTAGAATTAGCTTTTGCTAAAACTTTCAGTGCATTAGTGCTTCAGAATTAGGGGACCTAAATATTTGAGTTGGTGTTTTAGGGCTAGTGGAACAAATTTTTAGATTAGTGCTGCCCACTACTGGTTGTAGTACCTGAGACCAGTGCTGGTCTTAGGACTGGTCCTAAGATCACTTGTTGATGGTCTTATCTTGGACTCAACAGCATTTGTATTCGATCTCAGATATTGAGGATTTCGAACTTTTATTTCAAGACCACAACTGTGGGAAAATCACTAAATTGCCAGATTGTTGTCCAATTTATTTGTTAACATCTTTGCTTTAATTGGGTTTAAAACCTTCTGATCCAAATCTAAACTTTGCTTATTGCTATTTATGTATTTTTGTTACTGGCTTGCTGCCCTCACACAAAGATTTAGTCAATATTAGCTCTATATATTAAGTTAGCTACATGTGTACAGAATATGCACTAGTTTTTTTTGTTGTTGTTTTTGTTTGTTTGTTTTGTTTTTCTGGTCTTGGTCTTGACTTGGTACCAGGTTAGGTGGTCTTGATGACAACACTAACATGAACCAAGTGTTGAGTTACCTTCCATGTTGCCACCCATTATGTACAGATCCCTGAGCTTCTGAGGGAACTGTGGATCCAGTCTGAGAGCCAGTGCCAGATTAGTGAGCGGGCCCAGGGCCACTAAAGAGACCTGAGAACAACAGGATTTAGGGACGACAGGAGAGGAAGCACACATCCACAAACAGCAGAGCATCTTCTCACCTGCTGCTCATGCTCAGACACCAGCCGAATCATGGCGCTGACTGCATGCTCTTCTTCAACTTTCTCCTTCCACTGAGGGTCCTTGTCCTCCATCACATCCCCAAGACCATCCCCCCCAAAGTGGTCATTGAATGAATCAGTGGATTCAACCAGAGGACCAGCAGACCCTCGAAACACTGGAATCTGCAAGGAAAGGTTAGAAATATCGGGTTTTTAAAAATGTTATCAAAGTGCCAGTGTGCAAGCATTGATGTGACCTCAATACTGTTCTGTTTCATTTATTATTGTTCTGTATTAAACAAAAAGACTTTAGAATTACACACCAAAACATTTCCCATTTCTCCATCAGGGATAGCATGCTGTGACTTGTGGTTGCAGTGCGTCACACAACAACTTTACTATAATTCATTTTTTTCTTACTCCACCACTCTTTTTGGTAGAGTCGATACAAATTATAGACTGTGGTGCCTAAAGAAAAGTCTTACTGGGGTGGCACCTGTAGCGGTAATTTGGGTTTATTTTAAAATGGATAATTTATGAATTATTTAAATCAATAAATTATCTTACCTCGAGGCACCACTTCCCTTTTATTTTGTTATTATTACACAGGAAAGAGAAGAAAACTGTAACTTTACTGTAATCAGACTCAATAAATCTACCCAAAATTATCTGATGAGTTCTTTTCTTAGAGAAATCAATAAAACCTTATCAAGACACAGAAAATTAGACGTGGTCTCACGTTGACCAGTTCTCCACGGGTCATTTATTCACAGATTAAAATGTATTTACAGCTATGGCAAGTACGAATTGATGACATTCTGAACCAGAAGAATATGAAGATATTTGAGCAATGAGTGAATAACGAAACAGACACACAGGACAAACAAACAAACAAATAAACAAACAACAAAATAAACACTAAAAGGGGTTTTGAGGCTGGAGTGAGGTGAGGGGAGTTTGCTTTAGCTGAGAATTTAACTAAGGGATCCCAGTTAAATGAGGGAGAGAAATCGTTTAGATTATCAAATCTCATTCAAAGATAAGAATCAACTCTAAACTGAGCACCTTGTCTGTCGCCAGCAAGTTGTTACTTTTCCATACCCTTTTATTCTGCTGATTGTGGTACCAGAAGYAGGCGTCGGCTGACCGAAGAATCTCAGGTGATGTTCCCCAAAGAACTGCTTCAGTGWAGTGGCCGGTCGGACACTCAGGGTGTCTGKTGGGCTTCTGGCCCTTCAGTCAGAAAGGTGGGCGGTGAGCTGGTGAAGAAAGTGGGAAGACTTTGTCTCTCYGTTGGATGCTTCAGAGCGAGAGTTGATCCAGTCTTTATAGAGGCAAAAGGACTAAGACGACATATGAGTTAAATTAGCTGATTTAACTTCTATAAAAAAATTAAGCTCGTATTGAGCCGACGTGGTATTATTGAAGCGGTGGCGATGAGTCCAGCCCAGTGGGAGATRCAGAGCCCGGGTCCTGGTCAGCCATTGGGAGGGTCTGTCAGGGTCGGTCTCTGCTGAAGCTTCTGAAGTCTTTTGCTGCTGATATTCAAATCTTCCAACTCTTTTTCCCAACTAATTTGGGAGTGTGCTGACTTTTTTAAAACCTTTGTTTGGGGCGGAGTTAAGTTGTTAGTTGGCCAATAAAAATGTTACACCTTATACAGGAAAAAGGTCTCAGTGAGTCAAATCTGTTGGAGGTAAATTTTACTTTGAAAACAAAGACAAGGAAATGTTCTAGTTTATCTTGCATTTACCTAAAAAGGGAAGAGGAGACATCTGGGTTTTGCCTCAGGGATAAAATTATCTCAGTTAATTATTAAAATTCAAGTCCTAAGGGTTAAATAATRGAATAAAATACACATCTTCTTCAGGAAAACATTTAATCAAAACAATTAACACCACACAGTTATTWTACTGAGTCCTTAGTGTGTAAATACTTAGTTAAAATGAGAACATAGTAAAGCTTCAATGGGTTTTGKTCTTTCTGTAAAAAGAAACAGGTAAATCACATTTCTTTGATTAAGATATATGAAAACAGACAGTTGGATAAAACATTCAATCTTGTTCTCTTTTTTTATTTAATCAGGAATGGTAGATTCCTTTGTTCTCAGTCATGCTGAAAAGTCTGGTGAAAGGAATTTATGATCCCTTTGAAGAGGAACAAACCGTCTTGTCCTTATAAGGTCACTCGAAACTTGTGGGGGTTCAAGAATGTGGCAATTCTTATCAATTAACTGTAAAGCGTCAGGAAGTCTAGTGGGTGAAGGTGTGAGAGATGTTAATTCAAGCCACAAATGAAGTTCCAAGCAAAATCCTTAGGAATAGTCTTTGGGGTCAAAAGTGGGGGGTTTTTCATCCTCCTCTGTGTCGTCAGGGAGATGGTATAAATCTGATCAGAGATGATGATTTCTATGCAGGAAAATACTACACACCAAAACCAAAAGTGTTGTCAAACACCAATTTTAAATTTGGCAATATAAAATATGAAAGTTAAGGAATTGCCAACAAATTTACCTCAGTTTTGTATTTCACAGGTAAGATGTGATGGCCACAAAGCAAAACAGATAACAGATAACAATTGAAGTTTCACAACAGTTTAGTGTAACATTTAATGTGTTGTGTATCTTGACACACATACTGTAATAAACTGTAACGGCATATTTGTCAGCCCAAGGTGGCCTTACCTATGTTGTCAGCTCTTTAGACATTAATGGCTGTGTTGAGTTTTTTAGGGTACTCACTGTTATTAAATACTGTATATACATTACTAGGGCCATTTAACTGGCGGCCCGCAGGCCACCTCTGGCCCGTGAGTGACCAAAATTCGTCTCACCAATTGGTTCATTCATCTCTTAAGCCCAAACCCCCAATTTTCTACTTTAATTACTCTAAGTTCTTTTAGTTAGACATAGACATGTGAGGTATCTACAGAAACATCAGAAACTTGGCTCCAAACTGGTAAAAAAACATTTCTATAAACACTCAAGACAGTTAAAACTACAAGTAGTTGAAGATAAAACTTTGAAACTGAAAATGAAATTGGTTTAAAAATTTGGCAAGTCAGAGATGTCAAAATAATATTTGTGTTAAACAAGAGGCAGAATGGGTTACTTTTGTTTTTGATGTTGTATTCATGATTAAATGCAGCAAAATAAACTATTTCAAAGGTAAAAGATCTTTGTAATACTTGGTTTATTTACATAATAACTTTAATTGCTGGATGTTCGGCCCYTGTGCTGTTGGTCTGCAGTAACTGTGGCCCCCGGTGCAATTTAGTTGAATAGCCCTGGTATACAGCATACTATAATGTATAAATTGCCCTCATGTTATAACCTTGGTTCATCCYCTGGTTATACAGGAAAACATCTGGATTTTTGATTTCTTCAGCAAGTCTTTTGTTACTATAGGACTCAAGATTTTCTCTCAAATAACCCCAAACGCAAAGAAACTTATTAGTTACGGATTAAGTATTTGTTTGAGGCTTACTTTTTGGTCTGCCACTTGACAGTCAGGGAGTGACAGACACGAGTGTGTGGTTGTATTCATGACAGTCATGGTGACAGTAATGCGTCACTGGCAGCAGTTATAGCATTTCTTTTAATCTTGCTTTGCTCTACACAGTTTTTGTCATAATGTTGTCATTTCTGTTCTAGATTGTTTCAAAGTTGTGTTAAAGTTTTGAGAAKCGGCTTCACAGAGACCCTAAAAGTTTTCTTCAGCATTGTTCTCCTTACAACTGTTTAGACATCTGATTCTTAAAGTATAAACCTGGCATCATTCAAACTCAGCTTCAGTAGACCCACCTYCTGCTGCTCACAGACAGAGAGGACCCTCAGAACGTTCTGACACACGTTCTCCAGCGTCGTGTTCCCAAACACACAGGTCACAGCCAGGACCTCCACGTTCGGAGCAGCCAGGGCCAGCATTATGGCCTGAGCGTCGTCGATGCCGCAGTCTGTGTCGATGATCACCAGCTTCTTCGTCATGGTTCTCTGGAAAAATTCAACGAATCAAAGATTTAATATGACTCGAGCTGAACGTTAGCTTTCAGCTTAATGTGGATAAAAATCTACACACTCCTGTGTAGGGGTAACCCTGGTGAAATATTCATTTCTATTTTTGTCTTTGATTTTATTTTTTACACTTATAAGAAGAAAAT